TAGAAGAGTAGTAAGGGTTCACTATTTTAATTTATTTTCCTTGCATTGCTTCATAAATGTGTGTTATTTTCAGATAGTGTTTTTTAAACATACCAGGGTTTTATGTTCAAGTGCCACATTTATATGATAATGATATAAGACTATAGGAAAAAGTGTCTGTCAGTAAACAGTACAGAAACTTACCATCTTTGTAAAGTTTCTTCAATGTTAAGACAGAACCATTTATCAGAGTTCTTATCCTTGGCTTATATTTCAGGACCAAACAGCCCTCTGTGGTGGATGCGTGATTGTGTCGAGAAATTAGTACCAGATGCTTCTTCTCCAAACCGTGCAAAGGTATGAGATTATATCATATTGATTAGATCCATTGCTTGAACAACTTTTTTTTTTATTTATGTGTATGAATTTCATTAGGATTGACCATTTTATCCTAGGACTATAAAATATTAAATATAGGTCTACAATTTCTTTTTGAAAAGTAGTCATGTCATATGTTAGTCCCTTTTAATAATTAAGTGTTTTGTTTTTAATATTAATTACAAAAAGTAGAAGCATTAAAACATTTTAGTTTCAGATTTTTCTCAATAAAAAGTCCAAGAATGGCTTATACATTCTGAAGAGTTTGAATCAAAATTGAAAAAAAAAAAATTGTATTGCATCCATTATAGATATTGACAATATAAAACTCAATTATTCTTAACCCATTGCCGTCGGGGGAAATGAACAAAAAATGGGGGAAATGCAGTACTCATTTTTTGTATTTTTGTGTTATATCTCTGTCCATAGATGGCTCTGCTAGTCCTGATTTCACCTTTCCTTGAATTGGCGGGAAAAAACGTATTTTTACTAGTGCTATAAATATAGATGGTGTTATTTTTTACAACAAATTAGGATAACGTTAAATATTTTTGTAAATCGATGAAAAGGGTGAACGGGCGAGACAGGCAGTACTGTAATTGGCTCATTGGATACTTAGTACAAGTGTAGCCATATATGTGTAAAAACAATCGAACAAGTCGACTCACAGTGGGCATGGCATGTACGTACATGCCATCCCCGGCGGCAATGGGTTAAAAAGAAAAGAAAAAAAAGTGATTTTATTGCCATGGCTGTCCCTACTGCATTCATCCCTTTTCCCTGCCGCTCTCCTTGTAGGAGAAGTAGAAGGTGGAAGACTGGGAGGATGACAGAGATTGGCATGATGGACCGCACTAAAGCACCTTGGCAGGAGGTGCCGATGAAGTCAATGGCTGGTGGTCATTGACCTCAGAGGATGAGGGGCATATTTGAATGCTGGCAAAGCAAGGCATTTTGAAAGCAAGTAATGAATGAGCTGCAAGCATCTCGTATATACAGGAAAATTCCCACCTGATGTGGAACATGGAACCAACAGTAGCCATTGAGGTCAAAGCAAAGAGACCAATCACTTGATTATGTGACGTCATTTACTCCAACATGGAAGCTCTAGAGTGACATCTATGATGTTTTGAAAGTGGCAACTGTAATAACATCACTGCCTCAGCTTCATGATGTAACTCTTCTAGAAGTCACCTCAAAACATAATTCTTTATGACATCACTTCATCTTGCCTACGTTTCTGATTCTGTCTGTCTGTTTATCTATCAATCTATCTTTCTACCTGAATGCCTCTATCCATCTATCTATCTCTGTCTCCCTTAGTCTCAGCTTTTGTTTTCATTTAGATTGTGATTTTCTGTCTTTGTCACTCTCTCATAATTCCCCTACTCCCTCCATCCTTATATGATGTCAGATCCAGGTAAATGGAAGTAAGAACTCCTCATCTCTGGCATATGACCACGTGTTGTAGTTTGTGGTTGTGTACAATTAGAAATATCCATATAGACATAACATTACTGAGGTCCATGCATTACATCTCACATGTCAGACACCTTGGTAGATGGTCAAGAACAATAGTGTCCTGCTGGTGGGATGCCCATCTTTAGTGGGCTAAACTACAGGTGGTATAATATTACATTGTTATAGGCAAGCAGAATTTTGCCCATCTGGGAGGTTTGCCTCGATAGTCTATGTCCGCTCTTTAGGGGTTAATGCCTCCAAACAACAACAACAGGTTTTAAGTTGGTGGTGGTTTAATCAACTCATTTTCTGTTTATGGGAAATTATATTTACATTAATTAATCATCAGACCATTAACCTCTTAACCCAATGGCGCCAGGTGTACAAAACAAAAAAAAAAACTCTACGCTTAAGCAAACAAAGGCGACTTTGAGCGCGTGAGTAGGGGACATCAGCCCGAATCACTGGCTCGCCGCACTTTGGCGCGCTGCCGGCTCGTTTGGCTGCACGCCAGCTTTCAAGCGCTTTGTTTACACACCAATCGGCGTCACCCGGCACCAAGGGGTTAATGACGAATGAAGAGAATTAAAAAAAAAAAAAAAAAAAAAAAAAAAAAAAAAACTACGCTGGAGATCAATGGCAATGCACCAACTTTGAGCATGGGATTTCAGTACATCAAGATGAATCACTAGCTCGTAGCACTTTGGTGTGTCACCGCGGTGCACAGCTGCACACCACAGATCAAGCGGTTTGTTATGACACCTCTGGCCAGGATTAAGGAGTAATAACAAGTCTCAGCTTTTTCATAGCCCTTCAGTAAATAATTAATTGTTTGTCCAGTTTTCAGCATTCCAAATAGTCTATAACTTGATTCAACTAAAGAGGTTTCACTAATTTCATTTTCCTTATTTTCAGTTGCTAATATCCATGGAAAGTCTTCAAATAAGAATACTAAGAAATGTCTTTTCACAACAGATTCTATTGGGCCTTAATTTGTACGGTCTGGACCACAGTGTTACTGGAGGTAACCATGTTATTGGACATCAGTATATAGATATACTGTCAACGTACAAGCCTAAGTTCCTCTATGATGGAGAATCACAAGAGCACTATTTTGAATACAAGTGAGTGTTGTCCTGTTTATGTTTTGTGATGCCCAATTCCTACCTTTTCTGCTTTCATATTTAGTATGTAGGGGATTTTCAGGAACTTTTATCACTTCTTTCCTTTCCTCCTTTTCCTCTTCCTCATCCTCCATCATCTTCTCACATTCCTTTACCACCTCTTTCTCCTTCCCCTCCTCTGGCTCCTGTTCCCCTAACCCCATTCCTCTTCTTCTTCCTCCTCCTCCTCCTCCTCCTCCTCCTCCTCCTCCTCCTCCTCCTCCTCCTCTTCTTCCTCCTCTGGTTCCTGTTCTTGTAACCCCATTCTTTGTTTCCTCCTCCTATTCCTTCTGTTCCTGTAACCCCATTTCTTTGTCTTCTCCTCCTGTTTAACCCCTTTTTCTCCCCCCTCCTCTTCTTCCTCTCTCTTGTCTTTGACCATCATTATTTCTTTATTCTTTATTTCTTTCCTCTATTTTGCTTCCCTGTTTTCTTTTGGTTTCCTCTGTAATGATGATTAAATGATCTCTTACTTTGAATGTAAACAAAAATAAAATGTTTTTATTTTCCAAAAAAGTAGCTTCATCTTTTGCATAATTTCTTCAATCGTTTCAGAACAACATCTGGGCGTCGGACTGTGTTCTACCCAACACTACATTCCATCAACAAGCGAGTTCACTTGGCCAAAGAACTGGGCACAGGAATATCTCTGTGGGAAGTGGGTCAGGGACTTGATTACTTTTATGATCTTCTCTGATTAGGGAAAAAATGCAGGGAATGTTATCTCCATGGTGCTGTCCAAAAAGCTGGACTGTGATTACCTTCTTGGGGTTGTGTGTGAATAAGGGGGATGATATATTTATTTGAATGATACATAGTTGGTTATGTAGCCTGTGTAAAAAGCATTTGTTTCTTTACCTGTGATTACCACATGTTATTTGTTTTGTAGAGCTGCTCACATGGACCTGATGCATATGTGGCCTTATTGTTAGACTATATAAATCCCAGTTTTTGGGCTAGTGGTTGCAGTGTGTGACATTTGTGTGTGGGTTTAAAAAAAAAAAAAAAACTATCTGTAAATGCAATATAATTTGATAAAATCATTTAAACCAAAATTTAATTTATTAATGCATTCTGTTGCTTGATTTGTATCAATTTGTCATTATCATTGTAGTTTGGTTAATTGTGTCCAACACAAGTTTCAGGAATTTTTCACAGAATAGTATGATGCTAAAGTAAAGTATGTGCAAATGATTATCGGTGAAGAGGGAGAATGATACAATGTAATGTCTTGTATTGAAGAATAATGTTACTTTATTGGATAATAAGTTTCTCTTGTATATTTATTGAACCCTAATTTGTGTGAAAAAATGATAATGTAAAATGGGAAATTTAAATAGAACATGTGTATAAAATGACAGTATTTTTGTATTGCTATTAGATGTTCATAATCTTGTTTGTGGTATGGGGAATATGAACAGTGTCAGATTTAAAAGTTTTATAAGTAAGACCAGTGACACACAGAATTGGCCGTGGGCACAATGGAAGATAATAGAAATGTGATGAATATTTCTCAACACCCTGAAGGAAATAGAGGGTATAAAAATAAGCAGTGACTCTAAGGAAGATGAGGGATTGTAGAGCAAGGTGGACAAGATGGGAACTTGAGGAGGCAGGACCTAGGGCACCAAATGTCAAAGATGGCATGGAACCAACCCTGAAGTGAGAATAGTTTCAAAACAAAATGGATGAAAAGGAAACCTGAGGCAAGCAGATCATGGAAAAAGGAAGCAAAAGATGTCATCCTATCTTCCCTAGAATCAGAGAAAGTAAATAAACTTACTGCTCCACAGCCCACCATACATTCCCTAAACGCTAACTGAAGTCCATAGCCAGGTAGTCATGCTTTGTCCAGTGGTTGTGCCTGATTTCCTTTAGGAGATATTTTTGTAGTCACTAAATACACAGAACACTATTTTGTCAAGAGTTTGTCCAGTCTAAATATCTAGACCAACCAGTACAATGGATGTTCTGCATGTTACATCACTATTATGTAGTGTAAGTAAATGTTCTTCAAAGGAATAATAACGGAAAATTAAACGTAATTGCAAATGACTTGATCATATTAGTGTACAAGGTAATATCTTGTGTGAAAGAAAAGTTTATAGATCTTTTTCCACCAATGAAAAATAAAATAAAAAGGTATATTGTTTAATGATATATGTATGTCTAATTATGATAATTTGTTTGTACACTTTTTCTTATTTAGAATTAAAGCATTGATTATCTGTGATCATAATTATACAAATAAAGCCTGAAAGTAAAGTTAAGTGCATTAAACACACGGCAAAATGCTATTATTATATTATTTACACTTGTTCAATAGTACTAAAGGGTAAAATTTTGGGTGTAGTCAGGCAAGGATGAACTTTTATTAGTGCCAGCCACTCTGTGTCTGGGTTCTCAGGAGGGCATGTGAAACCTTACACTCACCATGACATGATAGCATACCACCTATCACCTGTAGGGTAATATAATTTGTATTTTACTTTTATTGCAAAATATTTTGTATTTTAGAATTTTGTCATCAATTTTTGGTCTCCACACTGAAGGTCATTATAAGATTAAGTGAAACAAATTTTCTTGATCTTTAGACTTTATTGTGCAAAAAGTCTTACAACACAAGTATACTTATTTAAATTAAAGCATATCTAGTGAAATTCACACCAGCAATAAGCTAGATATAAAAATATGGTTCTAGAAAAAGACTGGAAGAAGACCCGGAAACTGTCCCGTAACCTTTACATTTCTCCATGAATAAACGTAAATCTTAAATGAATTATAAATGGTTTGTCGTCTCGACTTCAAAGGAACCATAATACCGAGTAAACAAAATGAATTCCCTTTAATGAATTTGTCAATTAGGAAAATGTTACTTACAAAAAGCAATAAAAAATAAATAAAAGTACAGATTATATCTTGAAAGGAACTCTGTAAAATAATTTCAGCTGCAATCAAAAGCTGTATAATAACCCAGTTCAATGTATACTTAACATTTAATGTATCTTGAATCTGAATTCAAGTACTGTGTCTTTTATTCCGTTTTGCTCAAACACCAACCTCGTAACACGTGATGACAAAAACACTCTACACACTGCAGTCATGGTATCACCCTTCTCAATTTATAAAGGCTGGACTGACAATTGCATCACTCCAGACACTTCAGAGATGTTGCGTAAAAGTGATACTAAAATTACCGTCTTAGCCTACCCGGTTTACCCCATTATCACCGACGCTTTTCTATGACTGTTCTTTATTTTGTTCGTTTATTTTGGTTTTCCGATTATCAGGGATGAAATTACTTCCTTTTCTCTCATTTCCATTAACACTGCAAGGGGATACTATACAGAATTTATATAGATTTTTTTTTTTTTTTTATGTGAAAGGTAATTTCAATACCAAAATAGTTACAAATTGGTAATAGATTTATAAATAACATATAAAATATAGTCTTCCCATTACTAATTCATAAACATCCAAATTATTCATCTACATAACGATCATTCAATCCAAACAAGAATTTTCTTAATGCTCCCAACCTATATAAGTATGGCAGGACCTAATATTACTATCTTCATTCAAAGTGCGTCAAGTTGGCCTCCCACTGACACCAAAATATTCTTTGAAAACATATCCTGATTCATGGTTTTCTAAGTACCTAAATACATCTCCCATGTCAACGTGAAACCCTCCGTTCTTGACCCGGATGTTATTCTCGGAGCCAAGTTCTTCAAATGACGGAAATCTTCGTAGCTTGTCAATATCTTGACCTTTAGTGACATCGACGATTTCTCGGCTCTTGACAAGGATCTTCTGCCAGTTCCATGACCTTACCTGTTAGTACAAAAGAAAAGAAAGAAAAAGACATTATATTATAACATCCTTTTTGTGAGTAGGATATAGGGAAAAGCTTTAGAAAATTAACTGATTAGTGGAGAATAGTTGACTAAGGCACTATTTCATGGATCAAACATTCAGCTTATTGCCTAAAGACAAAGCCACCCTGATTATTCACCACACTGTTCAAGTTACACCTCTAAACAAAGTCACCTGAATTGCGCAGTAGCTTTTAAAAACTGGTAGGTCATTTTCCTATCTCCATGTTAGTGTAAATGAGATGCAGGGCATGTGAACTAGAAAGTCAAGTCTATTACTTGATGGTATTAGAAATCTCTCTGCATCATAGACTCCAGTAATTTCTGGCAACCATCCTGCCAATGAGAGTGGGAGTCCTCTACATGTAGTGGAACTTCCAGCTCAATCATACTCTAGCATGTTGCCATGTGTATAGCAGGGCTAGTACTACCTGGCATTTTTCTTCCAATGTCAAGGCCCAAAAAGTTACACATTCCTATGCTTCCACACTGGGCCTCCTAACATGCATCTGGGTGACTTATCCTCCCTAACAATTCTCCCTGTATATTCCCTTTGAGTCATCAAGGACTACTGTATGCCTAATTCCATCCTCTCCTCTACCCTTGGACCTCCTGTTCTCTCTTCACATAATCACTTCCTGGTGTGACTGAATTTCTCTTTGTACTTTATATGCACATAAACACATTTCTCAAAGCTTAAGAAGTTAGAAAACAGTAAGCCATATAGTCATCCTATGTCCTTCACTTACTTTTCCTATATTCACTCATGCAAGAGATAACTTGAACTTTAATAGAACTCTACAATCATTAAAGACTGTAATAGCTGAAAAATTACCCAAAACAACAACATAATACAACAGACAAGAACAATATCCTTACCTTCTGCCACCAATCATCTGTATTGCGTGACATTCCTTCTACACATATGATGCCAGGTTTCCCGGGTAAGCAGAAACCTGTCAAGTCAAACTCTCTTGATAAATCCAAAATATCCTTGCGTTTTACCTGAAACAATAACAAACCATTTGTTATCTTGCACACAGGTATTAATACATTATACAAAGAAGTTATTCAGTGTCTTGGAAATGCTCAAAAGATGAAAATTAACCAAGTGGTGCCAAGTAATCACACTGTCTACTGTGATGTTTTGTTTGCACACAGATGGCTACAGAAGTATTCAGACACCAAGCAGCCAATTAGTAAGCCTCTATGTCCAGCAGATTTCGCCTTTCCTTTAGTTTCCAGGAAAAACATTTTTTTTTTCTAATGCTATTGATATTAATGCTATGATTATAATAATGTTGATAACAATACTAACAGCAATATATGTGAGCTAGGTAGTCCTAGTAATCAGCTAGTAATTGATTAGTAATAGTAACTGTAGAGCCAACTATGTGTAAAGAAAGGGAAAAAAAAGAAAAGAAAAGAAAAAAAAAAAAAGAAGACTGTCACAATGGAATGTATTCTTCCCCATCCCAACCACTTGGGTCAATGAACAGAGTTTAAGTATACTGTACAAACTGAAATCTAACTTTGTGCCAAACCTTGCTATATATATGATGGGAATATATCCATAATCTTGCAAATTTGGTGTCCTTTCCCTCAGTCTCTGTCTCTGTGTTCAGTGGTACCTCTTCTTCAATGTTGTCCGAGAAAAAGGTTTCCCCTTTCTCCTGCAGCCAAGTTACAGCTGGACCAATTGCTAAATCACATTTTTCTAGAGATTTAATGTACCTGCAAATAATAACATTTTTTTTGTAAGGCAATGCACTTTCAGAACATGGCAATAAATATATTGCCATTTCTTGACAAAATATTTGCAAACTGTCACATAGCTAGGTAACTGAACTTGCATAGAAATAACATCTATTACCCACTGAAATTATTCATGAATATACTTTACACAAAATAGAAAGTAATTAACTCATTCACTGAATGGCAACTTTTCAATTCATAATGTACTGAGCCTTTATGCCAGCTGGCAAGTGTCCATAACTATGCATGATTGAGCCTGTTCTATGTTTTGAATGCCAAATAGTTATTTGCTTGTTTGCTCTCAAAAGTAGCCTTAAGGTTTATTTTCAAGTCATTTACTGAAAGATATTAGCCACAGTCAATGTTGTAAGGAATGTCCATGTTTCCCATGCTTCTAACTTTTAACTTGAGTGGCTTTCTGCATGCAGCTACTGGTACATAGCTAGGTATGTCATGGATAGAGGCATGAACTATATGCCTAAACGAAATCGACTCTATACTGTAAAACAACAACTCTTCCAAAAACCATGCTTTTTCCTATTTTTTGAAGCATGAATTTTTAAACATATAGTACCATTTTCGTTACCTAGTCTCAAAGATATCAAACAGTTTTATTCAGAGATATTATTTCAGCAGTAGCCACTAAATCTAAAACGAAGCTATCAACTCTTGAAGCAAAAGCAAGTTCTAAGCTCCAAATGCACATAGGGAGAGAAAGTGAAATTCAAAACTCACTGATAGAGTAAAACCATTGGAAGTACAATGATTTTTGCCATCTTTCCGTCAGTATATTAGTCAACTGAGGTAAATACTGTGTAAAGTATGTGTCTATGAAACAGATCCAAATCACTGTAACATATATCAGAAAAAAAAAAAGCCACCTCTTACAATACTGTTACTCTTACTGCTGAAATCTAAGGCATTTTGTTCTAATAAAGAACTCTTTTAAACCCTTTCCACCATTAAACTGTCCCATAATGCTAAAGGACCTTTGATGTCTAGCACTTTTATTTGTTTTAAAGCATTAATCATTAACCACCCTTTACCTAGGTCACAGTCATACCCAATTACGAGAACTGCCATGTCATACTTAAGGGTTTAATGATTATAAAGAGGATTTACATATGGTTACTTGTGTAACATTTTTAGCTGTCATACAATATAATCCATTATATATGCATGATTTTTGGGGAGGGAGCAACATGAACATACATACTATTGAGGTCCAAACTTGCACACCAGGGGGTACATGGCTATTGGCATGCTACTGGTCCATGCATTCCCCTAGGACTCCCGCAAATTAACACCTGCTTAACTTAACTGGAAGCCTTATCATTTTGATTTGAGGAGGGGGGAGAGGGAGAGGGAGAGGGAGGGAAGGGAAGGGAA